AGGGTTCTCTCTCTGACAGGGCTCCGTGACTTCCCCCAGGCTGAGAAATGAAGGCAGTGCTCCAGCTTGCCTATACATGAGAATCACCAGGAAGCTTCCTGGGCCCGACCCCTGGAGATTCCGGCTCAGGAGGTCTGGGGCAGGGCCCGAGAGTCTGCATTTGTCTCAGGCTCCCAGGCGGTGCTGATGCAGCATCCCCCTGCACCTTGATAGCACTGGCTAGAGCAGGGGCCGGGAGCCATCGCTGGCCTGCCACCTCAGGGAGCCCTGGAGCCCTAGCCCACACCATGCCCGAATGCCGTGGGGTACAGAAAAGAAAAAGCAAAGATCCCAAGCTTCAAGCAAACAAGCTTCTCCTGAGTGTTAATGTGAATGTGGTTCAAACACTTCTGCTGACATTTACTGAGCCCCTACTGTGCGCCAGGCACTGGACTAGGCGCTGGGAAGGGAGAGAATACAATGGTCACTGAGCTCGTGAGGGCTTCCCTTGGGGAGTTCACAGCGAATGGAGGATCTTACATTCAGCCCCTGTGTGGCCTGGCAGTGTGCTGGGGGCCAGGCATGCCATGTTGAACAAAAGACCAGGCTCTGCTCTGGGACCGCTCAAACCCTGGGGAAAGAGGAAGACTCCTCCACCCCCAACCAAGACTTGGAAATAAGACTGAACTAGTTAACAGTAAGAACAGACAGCCAATGGATCAGACAGAACAGAGATGTTCAAAAGTCACAGAAAGGCCCTTTAAAAGTATAAGATAGCAAGATGGAGCTGCAGGCTCAGAAGGAGTGACATCTTTGAAGGAAACATCAACAGAAGACTTTTTAGTATCAAGTGCCACCTGCCATCTTGTGAGTGAGTCCTAGGGCTAGATGCTTACCCAGTCATCCCGACAACACCAGAGGTGGGACTCTTGGCTGACCCTGGTTTACAGTCAAGGAAATTGAGGCCCAGAGCTAAGGGTGACCTGCCCAAGATTACATTACCAGGAAGTAGTAGGGTTTGGGGCTGTGTGGCCCCCAAGTCATGCAGAGGCTGCACCCCTGCTGGCAGACAGCCTGGAGAGAACCCCAAGCATCAGCTGCAGGTCAGACAGGGTGAGAGTCCTCCCCAGAGCTGGGAGGTGGGGTAGGGCATCATGGCTTGTGACTGAAGTCAAATTCCTAGCCTGGTCACCCCTTAGCTTGACTCAGACAAGTTACTGGGTCTTCAGGGGTGGAGTGACCACACTTCAAGCACCCAATTAGCCCCCTCCAAAGACTAATGTTAAAACTTTCTGTACTTTCCTGACTTTTCTCCAGAGTCCATCTATGAAGAACAGAAGGGTCCCACAGGCAGAGCAGTTCATGTCAATTCAACCTCCACAGCACATCCCATATCCATCTGCTTCTCTGCATTTCTATTTCCACCACCCTGGTCCAAGCCGCCATCCTGTCTCCTCTGGTTTAATCCCGTGACCGCCTGGCTGGTCTCCCTGCCTGGGCTCTTAATCCTCTGCAGCAGAGATCTGCCAACCATGGCCCTTGGGTCAAATCTGGCCAGCCACCTGTGTTTGTAAATACATTTTTTTATTTTGGAACAAAACCACATCCGTTCATGGATGTACCATCTAGGGGCTGTTTTCCCACCACAATGGCAAAGCTGAGCGGTTGCCATAGAGACCAGACGTGGGGCATGGGGCCTAAAGTATGTGTGTGCTAACCTTTGGCGGGAAAAGTTTTCCAGTCTCTACCCTGCAGTCCTTTCTCCCACAGTCATCCTTCTGAAATGGCAATCAGATCATTTTCCTCCTGTGCTTATAGTCCTCCCGTGGTTTCTGGGGGACATTAGAAAATTCTTGGTTCTCTATCCCATCTGCAAAGTCATAGGTGATGTCATTGATGTCACTGGTCTTGTCTCTCCTCACTCGCGCCCACCAGACTGTCCCAACTGCTGTCTCTTGACAACCTCCCCCTTCTTATTCCTACCCTGGGGCCTCTGCATGTGCTGTCCTCTCAGTCTGGAATGTTCTTCCCTCCTCTCTTTAAATGGCTGGCTCCTTCTCATCACATAGGGCTCAGGTTTGAATGCCACCTTCTCAGAAAGGCCTTCTCTGCATACTGGCCCCAGTCTAGAATAGCCCCGGTCGGCATCGCATCACCCAGTCCTGTTTTCCTCTGGGCACGTCTCACTAACTAAAATGGTTTCATTTATCTGTGTGTTACTTGACCAATGTCAGTCTTCCTACTAGAATATAAAGTTCCACGAGGGTGAGGCCTTTGTCTTTTTTTTTGATTCGCCATATGCCTGTGGCCTAGACAGCTGCCCGGCACATAACAGGTGCTCCCTAAGTTTTTGTTCATCGAGTAAATGGTCTTGTCACTCCCAAAGACAAAAGAAAGGGTTAAAATTACAGCAGGTATGACTTAGGCCAAATACACACACACAACAATTCCTGCCCAATGGTTGAGACCTGGCAAAGGCTATCATAATAAACTAAAGAACCATTTGACAACAACTAAATGAGAAAAAAAAAACTTTGCACCCAATGCTGACAACACTACGAGTATCATTGTAGAAGGCCATGAGCCCTTTGGAAAGCAATAAGGTAGTCATGTCAAAAGCCATAAAAATGCTCACTCATTCAACTTGGTATCCCCACTGCTGAGAATTTATAGAAATAATTCAAAGGTACCAAAGGTTTTTTTGTATAAAGGTGTTTACTGTTTTATTATCTGAAAAAAACCTGGAAGAGGTTAACTGTCCAACAATTGGTATACACAGCCCATAACCATGATCTTTAGGAAACTCAGTGGAGCCATACAGAAAAAGGATTATGATAAATGAAAGAAATAAACTAGAATATATGTTATGGCTCTGAGTATGAAAACTACTTATGAACAAGGACAAGAAGAGAGCAAGAAAGGATGGTAATACTTAATCATGGGCCACCCATCAGCTTTGGTCCTTTCCTTTCTCTCGGGCACGCAGCTAATCAGATTTCCCAGCAGCCCACCTAGGGGGAGCCACACAGCAAGCTCGAGTCAATGGAAGGCGAATGGAACCGATGTGCCACTTCCTGTTCTGGTCCATAAAATTCTACCACATGTGCTCCACCATGCTGTGTCTCCAAGGTCACCTTAGAAGCCACATGTTGGGGTGCCTGGGTGGCTCGGTCATTAGGCGCCTGCCTTCGGCTCAGGTCATGATCCCAGGGTCTCGGGATCGAGCCCCACGTTGGGCTCCCTGCTCTGTGGGAGGCCTGCTCCTCCCTCTCCCACTCCCCCTGCTTGTGTTCCCTCTCTCACGGTGTCTCTCTCTGTCAAATAAAAATATAAAATCTTGAAAAAAAAAAAGAAGCCACATGTTGGAGATGGCACAGACGCTGTGAGCTTGTGCCCCACACAACTGTGTGTAACACAGACCAAGCCCTCCCTGTTCACCTGCAACAACCATCCTGAACTGTAACCCGCATCAGAAAGAAACTTCTGTCGTGTGTGCGCATTCGGTGTTGGGTCTACTTGTTACAGCAGTTTAGCCAACCCTAACTAATACCTTGATACAAGCTTGGGGGCTAACAGCTCAGGCTTTGGGGTCAGGGACACCACTTAGGATGATTTGTGTGATCTTGGGAGGTCACCGAACTGCTCTGAAACTCAGTTCCTTCATCAGTGTGAGAATCAAAAGAGAAAAAGACGACAAACTCAGTTCTGTGCCTAAGTAAAGAAGGAGCTCAGTCCTTGGTTCCAAGGGTTCCATCCGGAAGCACAGCTACATCCTGCCCTTCCTTGGATTTTGGACATGTTTGCCTAAGCTAGGTCGAGCTAGGTCTCCAACCCTTGCAAACATGAGGGCTGACTAATACCACACCGCTCCAGACATTCATGTCTTCCCCCAACCCAACCCCTGGGCGGAGGTGGTCCAGACCGGGCAAACCCAGAGAGAGGCTAGCTCTCCCCTAGTCAGGCTTAGGATGGAGCCAGTGGCCAGTAACTGACCCGATCTCCTCTACACCTTAGTGGCGGTACCAGGTCCAGAAACCAGGTTGACCCCAAAGCAGCCTGTGCCAAGACGTGGCCCCCTCCCAGTGCTCACTCAGGTCAGGCTGTGTTGTTTTCCTGGATGGAGAAGTCACCAGCAGGCAGTGGTCAGCGGGCTGTGCCCAGGCTGAGAACATTTCCCAGATCAGATGGCATCTCTGGCAGGCCTTCAAAGCCAGCAGAGGTCAAGTGGTGCCCAAGAGGCCAAGAGGCCCAGTATGGTGGGGATGGTCAAGAGTCCCGATGCACAAGGCATCCCAGTGCCCTCCTCATTTGCCAACTGTCCACCACCTGAGGGTCCCGGAGCAGGGACAGGCTGGACCAGTCCAGGCAGACACCCTGGGCCAGAGCGGGGCTCACACACACACACACATGCACACACACAGAGCCACACACGTAAATGCATGTACACACAAATAGCTGTGTTCACATATCACACATAGAGATACACTCCTATTAAACTCAGTGCCTTCCACTAGCACAACAGGCAACAGGGCCATGGTATGGTGTGGAAGAAATCCTGGAGTCTGATCCCAGATTCTTTTTGCATGTTTCCAAAGACAAAGATATTTGACCAAACCCTTCAGTCACATCCCCCACAGGGTCCCTGCCTGCCTGCAAACCCCACGAAACCAGCTCCATGCAGATGACCCCTCAGACCCTTCCTCACTCGGACCCCAAGGATCCACCACGGTTGTGGCAGAAAGATCTAGGTCTGTAACAACAAGACACTGATGGTCTTGAGCCAGATTTCCTAGAAGCAGAGCTGCAAATGGACTTGGGCATTTGTGGGTTCTTAAGGGAAGGCTCTCAAGAGAAGGGAAGTGAAGGCCACAAGGAGCAGAACGGGGAGGAAGCAAGAGAACCGGCCTCGCCTTGGTGTGACTCCCCCCCCGCCTCTCTCCCCGCCCCGGGAGCCCTTTCTCACAGACTGCGCCACCATGAGTCAGGGGCCAGCAACCCCTATTGCTATATCGGTTAGTCACTGGAGCATGGCATCCCCTCCAGGGTGAGGTGGCTCCCATCTGAAGAGGACAATTCTCTGGAACAGGGCCCAGCTGTGAGCTCATAGCACCCCACGCTCCCAGTAGCTAGGGAAAGGTGGCCAGGTAAAGGGGAGCTGGGCTCTAACTAGGGTCTGCACTCGAGTAGACCAGTGAAATTGTCTGAGGACCTGAAAGGAAGAGGAGAATCTGTCTCTCCCCAGGGATGATTTCTCAGATATTGAACACCTGTCATGACATGGGCACGGACCAATCAGCCCCAATGGCTGGCTGTAAAACATGGTCACAGCTACACCAGCGGATACCAGCCGAATGCCATCCCTCTGCGAAGGAATGATACCACGCAGCAAGCCCCGTAGTGGTTGTTCTGGAAGCATCACTTGCCCGAATCCTCAGAAGCGCCCTGCACTGCAACCATCATCCCCGTTTTACTACAGAACAGCCTAAGACTCAGGCACATGAGGTAGCTCAGCCAAAATCAAACAGCCCAGGAAGTAACAGACACAGGACTTGCACTCGCATCTGGCTGGCTCTAAAGCCAGTAAAAATTTCTACCCTGCCTCACTGGCTTGAAAGAGATTTAAAAGGAAAGCAAGCAAAAAGGAGCCCTGCCTCCAAGATACGTGAGGGTCCCTCAGAGATGCTGGGATCATGATTTTATTATGTTCAGAGGGGAGTGAAAGGGGCAGGAAACAAGCAATGTGTGATCTCCTGTCATGTCAAGAGACGTTCTTTTCAGAGAAATGTACACTTCGCAGAATCAATAGGCTCCGAAGCCTCAGAAAGCCAATGAAGACATACAGCCCTGACCCCTGCACATGGGAGCTCTGTTACGACAGACAGGAGAAATTAAACTGAATCATCTGGAGCAAGTAGGTTGTAAACATTCAATATTAATGATCCATGTCAGTCCCAAAGAACCTTGGGCTTTGCCTAGCTGTGTGCGCTCTTTTTAAAAGACCGACTTGTCCCGAGATGGGGATTCCTCGCCCTTCCCTGCTTAGGGATGACAGAACCTGGGTCTCCTCTGCAGGACCAGACAGACAGTAAATATTTTGTGGGCCATCCGATCTCTGTTGCAATGACTCAGTTCTGCAGTTGTCACTCAGAAGTAGCCACAGACAATACAGAAGTGAATGAGCACGGCTGTGTTCCAATAAAACTTTATTGACAAAAACGGGTGGCCAAATGGATTTGACCCTCAGGCTCTAGCTTGCTAACCCCTGCCTCTCTTTTCCTTGGCAATTTCGGGGACACCAATGCATGCAGTCTTCATGCTGGGCCATTTCCTGACTTTGGTTTTTTGTCTCTTACTTCGGGGTCATTGGCTATGGGAGGGTCAGGTGACAGAGCTTAGATGGCATGATACAAATTCATGCTCACAAACTAAACCAGGTAACACAAGTACTAGGTCCAGCATATGACACTGCTAGTGTTCGTATGCATTTTTTTCTTCAGTTAAGACGGCAGAAGAGATGATTTATTGTACACGTGTTACATTCAGCCACAAATGAAAACAGAATTAGTCCCAAGAGTCACGGGTCCTGGGCAAAGGACCAAAAGGGACTGTTTTGGCATGAGCAAGGTGGGTGTCTCAAAGGTGGTCATTGCAGGGAGCCTGGGTGGCTCAGTTGATTAAAGCATCTGACTCTTGATCTCAGCTCAGGTCTTGATCTCAGGGTCAATCAAGCCCCACATTGGGCTCCACGCTGGGCATGGAGCCTACTTAAAAAAAAAGGGGGGGGTGGTCATTGCCTTCAGATGATGATGGATGTTGTTGATCCATTGAATCAAGTTCTAGAAACTAAGCATGCAGTCCAACAATTTGTCCCAGCGTCCCTGCCCCTGGGCCTTTCCTTATTTCTGCTTCTGTAGCACAAGCTAGTGCTTTATTTGGACCTCTGCCTCCTCTCTCTTCTTTCTCAATTCAGCCTGTGCATTCGCTTCTTCCTCCACTTGGCCCTCATGGTGTGGAGGTTTCCAAGAGATGGCGCTAAGGCTGGGAGCTCAACTTTTTTTTTTTTAATAAATGTTTAAACTTTTCATTTTACAATGGTTTTAGGAAAATGGTGAAGATAGCACAGAATTCCCGTGTGCCTCACATATCGATGCATTATTATTATTATTAACTAAAGTGCCTATTTATTCAGACTTTCTTAGTTTTTACCTAATGTCCTTTTCTTTTCTATGCCAGGATACCACATTGATGACCTTGACACTTTTGGGGAATACTGGTCAGGTATTTTGTTAGAATGTCCCTCGACTGGGATTTGTCTGTTATTTTTATCGTTAGATGAGACTTGTGTATTTTGAGGAGAAAGATCCCAGAGGAATCTCATTGACATCACTTCGTATCAAGGGTATGCACTCCCAAGATGACTTACAGCAGTTGACCTTGACCTTGACCTTGACCACTTGGCTGAGGTGGTGTCAGTTTTCTTCACTACGAAGTGTTCTTTGTCCCTCTTTTTCACACGGTCCCTTTGGAAGAAGCCATTACAAGAAGTCAACACTTGAGGAGTGGGGGTTATCCTCCATTTCCTGGAGGGTGGAGGAGCTACATAAATTTGGAATTCTATTACAAGACAGATTTGTCTCTTCTCTATCATTTATTTACTTCTTCATTTATTTATATCAATACGGAATCATAGGTACTTATTTTATACTTTGGATTATAATCCAATGCTACTTTATCTTGTGTTCAGACTGTTCCAGCTTTGACCATTGGGAGCTCATTCAGTTGGCTCTTGTGTCCCTGGGACATACCGCCATCAATGTGGCGTTTTGGGGGCACCTGGGTGGCTCAGTTGGTTAAGTGTCTGCCTTCAGCTGGGGTCATGGTCTCAGAGTCCTGGGATCAAGCCCCGCGTCAGGGAGCCTGCTTCTCCCTCTCCCTCTGCCTGCCGCTCCCCCTGCTTGTGCTCTCCCTCTCTCTGTCAGCCGAAAGAGCAGGGAACTAAACTATGTGTACACACATATGTATAAATATTTCTACGTGCAACCATCTGTATATATGAAGGTAAACATGAGCTCATACAGTGTCTCCAACTCTGATCCATTCCCACATGGATCATTCTAGCTCTCTCTTTGTAGCCTGTCACCTTCTACTCCAACAGTGAGAAACCTACCTCCCGCCATCCGCCATCCACTTATTTGTTTAATTGCAGTATACATGTATGGTACGTTGACTATTCAACCATTTTTGACCTATAAAAATGGCAGTTTCATATGGCTCATCCTAAAGAGAAGACAAGCATGAGTTGCTGACATGGTCTCCATATGAGTCCATGTGGATTGATCATGACCAGTAGTATTACTAATGAGTACTCATTCATTCATCACTAAGTGGATGGAGCACCAACCACTTGCACGCTACCCTCTCCTGGATTTAACCCCCGTCAGGGGCCACTTGCTCTTGGTTTCCTTGGCAGTTCCTTCCTCCTGCCCATCCTCTAAAGATTAAACTATCCCAGGGCATGGCCTCTTTGCTGTTCCTCAAACTCATGAAGCTCATTTCCTCTTCATGGCCTTTCCAATTACAGACCCCTGCACCTGAGCAACTCTTCCTGCAGATCGTGGCATACCTGACTCCTTCTCTTCTTCAGAACTCAGCTTAAAGCTCACCTCCTCAGAGTGGCCTTCCCTGATACCAGTCACCCTCTATCACATCACCTGTTCCACTTTAAAAACACTTATCATTATCCAAGAAATTTCATTTACTTGTTCATTGCCCCTCCCTTCCATCAGCCTTATCCTTCAGGAGAGGTGAGGCCTGGTTGCTCTTTCTCACCCTTAAATCCCCAGTACACAGAGCAGTGCCAGGCCCAGGCTAGATGCTCAGTTAATACATGAACAACTTAATGACTCCCCCTAATGATCAAACTTTACAAAGCACCCACCAGACTAGAAGTCAACAAGCCTTTCCTTGAAAGGACTAGATAGTAAGGATTTTAGGCTTTGTAGGCCATACTAATCTTTGCCACAACCACTCACTTCTGCCATTGTAGCCATGGACAGTCTGTAAATGAACACGGATGGCTGTGTTCCCATGACACTTTATTTGCAAACACAGGTGGAAAAGCAGATGTGGCCCCAGGGCTATAGTTGGCAGGCCCCTGCACTCAACCAATCCAAGTCTTAGAGCTCATCTTCAGATGTGAACAGATCTTTGTTTGCCACTATAATTGAGTATGAGTCATCACTTAGGTGAGGCACTCTTGCAAGTGTAAAAGGAAAGAAGCATTTTTAGTAGGCAGAAAAATGTTCTTTCTCCCTATTCCTGTCCACCCCAGCCTAGGAAAAGGAGGCAAGAGAGGCCCATCCCAACTCTGACCACTCAGCGGCTGTTGGCCACCTCTTTCTCTCAGCTCGAAGAGCCATCACAGGGTGAAAATGCACAGCTGTGGGCCTCCTTCCCCTTGCCAACGGCTTGCCTGCAGAGACTAGACAGGCGGGGGCGGCCAGCAGTCTCCGGAGGCCTGTATTCTGCACAGATCTGGGGACCACTTGTTCTAACGCATTCATCTGTTTTACAAAATCTTCAAATTCCAAAAAGCAAATGCAAGGGAGGGTGCTGTTTTCCTCTACACAGTGGAACAGTGAAAAAAAAATTCATCCATCCAAAAGGATATGAAAACAGGTGGCATCTTAAATGACCCCAGGTGTCCATTATAGCAGGAGTGCAGTTAAAATGTTCATTGTTGGGGCACCTGGGTGGCTCAGTCAGTTAAGCGTCTGCCTTCGGCTCAGGTCACGGTCCCAGGGTCCTGGGATCGAGCCCCGCACCGGGCTCCCTGCTCAGCGGGAAGCCTGCTTCTCCCTCTCCGACTCCCCCTGGTTGTGCTCCTTCTCTCGCTGTGTCTCTCTGTCAAATACATAACATCTTAAAAAAAAAAAATGTTAATGATCTAACCACGATCCCACCGTTGTATCACGCTTCATGATACACTGAGAAGCAGGGAGGGGAGAGGTCACATCCTACCCTCCCCCACTCCA